AAAATTTATTTTTAATTATGTGCATGTTGCACATATGATGCACCACCACACCAGACTATAACAGAATTTCAACTGAAAGCCAGTTTCCTTTGTCTTATGTAAACTGAAGTCAGAAACCAGCTTTAAAGGACAGCAGATTTGCAGTCCTGCAGCAGGTTTGCAGTCCTGCAGGGCTCGGAGCTTCACTGTGGCTGCACCTTTGGGCTACAAAGAAGCCTGAGACTTGCAGACCATCAGAAGACCTGAAGAGAGTTTCACAAGATTTCTAAAGTGTGCCTCAGTGGCTGGGCCTTAGGCTTGGTCCTTCCCCTTCTGTTCTAGTGCCTTCCTTCCACACCAGTCCCTCCCTTCCATACTAGCCCCTCCCCCTTCCATCCTAACCTGTCCCTTCCATTCTAGCAGCTACCCTTCTGGCCTAGCCACTCCCATTCCAGTCTAGCCCTTCCAAGCTCCTCCCCTTCCATCCTAGCCCCTCCACCTCTATCCTCGGTTCCCTCCCCCTTTATCGCCTTAGTCTCTCTGCTTCCACCCTTAGCCCTTCCATCTTAACCCCAGTCCTTCCGCCCTGGTTCCCTCCGCTTCCTTTCTTGACTCCTCCCCCTTAAATTCTTGGGCCCCTCCTACAAGCCTCATCTCCTTTCCCCCTTCATCCTAGACCTCTCCCCTTCTGTCTCTGGTCATGCTCCCTACCCTGACCCCAGCTCACCTGTCACCTCCAGAGTCACCACATCCTGTTCATCTTCAATGCCCCTCACCACCTGGCAGCGATACAGCCCGGAGTCGCTGGCCCGAAGTGGCCCCAGCAGAAGGGTGGCATTGGTTCGGTGCCGGGGGTAAGCAGGCAGTGACACCCTTCCCTGCCAGTCCTTGGCCACACGCACCACATTGTCCTTGGCCACCAAAATGGGCAAGTCCTGGCGCTGGCCTGACGCAGTTCGAACTTTGGTCCATTTGATCCGAGGGATGTCTCGAATGGTGCCGGGCCATGGCTGCAGAGTAAAAAGACAGGGCAGAGCCACCAGCTCCGCCAGCGCAGCTAGCACAGGGCCAGACCCCACCTTCAGTATGTGGAGCCCCTCTTCCACAGTGGCAGTGCCATCCTGAGTGCCTGGGGTGGAGCAGGCAGAGAAGAATCAGAGACAGGGACCAACATTTCTTTACAGACGAGACAAGGCCAGAGTGGCTGGGCTGCCCACACAATGTCACAGTGCAGAAAGGGACTCCCGAGCCACATACCCTCATGGCTCTGCCTCACTAGGTAGTGAATTCCACTTCTTATAGGAGTGAAAGTAAGACTCACATTATCTCTAGCTTGCTGTGTGGCCCTAGGAAAATCACATTCCCTTTCTGAGCCTCAAAACTTAAACAAGAAGCAGCCACAAAAAGGGATGCAGTGCTTATGCAGTAATTTCTTCTTTTTCTTTTTGTTATTTCTTTTTCAGGCAGGGTCTCATGCAGCCCAGGCTGACCTCAGACTTGCTACATAGTCAAGGATCATGTTGAACTCTGGAATGTAGCACCAAGCCCTGTGCAAATAACCCATTTGATTCTCATGACCATCTGCAGAGATGGTAACGTCTTGTCCTTTTGGGAAACTGGGGAAACTGAGGCCCAGAGAGGTAATTTTTTTTTGCCTACAGTCACCCAGTAATTCAGTAAGGGAGTCATAAAGCCTGGGCTCTTGACTGCTATTGGGAAGATTCCATGAGAGTGGTAGAGGCACACAGACCTTTACTTCCCTTGTCCCACCCAAGGCAGGCATCAATAATCAATCCCTGTGCTATTCTCTCTCTCTCTCTCTCTCTCTCTCTCTCTCTCTCTCTCTCTCTCTCTCTCTTTCTCTCCCTTCCTTCCCTTTCCCTTTCCCTTTTCAGTTCATTTCAGCAAAGAACAGTGAGAGGCGGGAACTTCCAGCTTCTATTCGTTATAACAAA